CCCTGCTGGAGGTAAGCAGACCCCTTGACCGCCGCGGGGGTCTCCCAGTGCCCCCGCTCCCCTGGGACACATACTGGTTATCACACAGATGTTATCAGGAATAAAGTGTCTGCTTTAGCAGGCTATTCCTCTGATGGCATGCAGAGCAGACAGTTTCATAGTTGCTAGGGTCAGAAGGGACCTAAGCAGATCATCAAGTCCGACCCCCTGCCACGGGCAGAAAAGGATGCTGGGGTCAAATGACCCCAGCTAGGTGATTGTCTAGCCTCCTTTTGAAGACCCCCAGGGTAGGGGCGAGCACCACTTCCCTTGGAAGTTGGTTCCAGCTCCTAGCTGCCCTGACTGTGAAGTAGTGCCTCCTGATGTCTAGTGCTTCCATCTTTCTCAGTTTCATTGCGAGTCTTATGATACTTGGCGTGTTTCTTTAAGTACTAGCTCCTGGAGTCATGTGAGAACTGAAGGGTTTCAGCTTTCCTATACAATAAGGGCCAGAACCTGTTCCCCTGAATTAGACATCCTAGGTGGATTTCTATGCCTAATCAATTACATTTCAACCTGCTTGAACCCCTAAAAAAACATTAATGTAAGAGACAGGTGGGATCTCCTCCTTCTCATTGATTCTTTTAATTTAAGCTTAAGATGATGGTGCATTACAAATGTTAATGGCTTTTCAGAGTTTAGAGTAGAGTGGAATAGTATCGTCCTAGTGCCTAAGTCCAGGTAGGTGTCTAATAAATGGAACAGGATCTGGTCTCAGTGTCTGTGAATTGTAAAATTCACTGTAAAGTTTCAAGAGAAGAGGAAGAGAAGGGAAGAGATTAATATCATATATCTTGACTTTAAAAAAGCCTTTGATCTGGTATCCCATGATCATATCTTGGCAAAACTGGCCAGCTGCAGCCTCGGCTTCTCCACGATCCGCTGGCTGGGGAATTGGCTCCACGGTAGGACCCAGAGGGTGGTGGCTGATGGAAGCCAATTGTTGTGGTGTGCGGTGACCAGTGGGGTCCCTCAAAACTCTGTCCTTGGGCCTATATTGTTCAACATCTTCATTAATGATGTGGACATTGGCATCAGAAGTGGACTGGCCAAGTTTGCTGATGACACCAAACTTTGGGGTAAAGCCTGAGGACAGGAAGGCAATCCAGGTTGACCTCGACAGGCTCAAGAAATGGGCAGACAAGAACCTGATGGCATTTAACAGCGAAAAATGCAAAGTTCTCCACCTTGGGAGGAAAAACCTGCAGCATGCTTATAGGCTTGGCAGTGCTACGCTGGCTAGCACTTTGGACAAAAGGGATTCGGGGGGTCATGACTGACCACAAGATGAACATGGGCCTTCAGTGTGATGCTGCAGCTAGTAAAGCAAGCAAAACACTGGCTTGCATCCATGGATGCTTCTCGACCAAATCCCAGGACGTCATTCTCCCCTTGTACTCGGCCTTGGTGAGGCCGCAGCTGGAGTACTGCGTCCAGTTTTGGCCTCCACAATTCAAAAAGAATGTGGAGAAGCTTGAGAGAGTCCAGAGGAAGAGCCTGATCAGAGGTCAGGAAAACAGACCTTACAATGAGAGGCTGAGAGCTATGGGACTCTTCAGCCTGGAAAAGCGCAGGCTCAAGGGTTATCTAGTGGCCACCTATAAGTTTATTGGGGTGCTTATCAGGATCTAGGGGAACATCTGTTCACCAGAGTGCCTCAAGGGATGACAAGATCGAATGGTCACAAACTCCTCTGTGACCATTTCAGGTTGGACATATGGAAAAACTTCTTTACTGTCAGAGCCCCCAAGGTTTGGAATAGACTGCTGCCAGAGGCAGTTCAAGCACCTACTTTGAAAGCCTTCAAGAGACATTTGGATGTCTATCTTGCTGGGATCCTATGACCCCTGCTGACTTCCTGCCTTTTGGGCAGGGGGCTGGAGTCAATGATCTTCTGAGGTCCCTTCCAGCCCTAATGTCTATGAATCTATGAAAAAAATAGTTTTAAGCCCATAAGTGGCTTCCATTTTTTAATAGTGCAGTTTACCGGAGAAGCTCCTGTGATCTTGTTCTCTGGCAGTTAGCACATACAGTGCTAGTAAATAGATAAAAATCATGACTAGGATTTATAGGTGGATATTTCAGGAAAGATGGGATTGTTTCAGGAGACTGAGCACAATGGCTTTACCAAAAATCAGACCAGTAATATAGGGGCATTTACATAAAAAGCAGCAAAAATGACGAGCCACTTCCTGTAAACCCTGGATAATTATTTTAGCATTGTGTTTGTCTAGGAGGGTCCTCATTCCCAAATCTGCACTGGAAAATTTGAGCTCCAATTTATGACTGGGAGTCAGCATGTTGTCCCTCTCACCCAGAATGCACGTAGTGGTTTAGTGTCAGTACGTAGCATCCTGGGATAAAATGCTGCATGGTTACACCAACATAATGCTGTGCTGCATGACCCTGATTCTTTGTGAGTGGAGTACCTTGAACCAGCGCACAAGTAGCAGTGTGCACTCAACATTAGTTTGACTATATCAGTATTCTTCAGGAAGTATAAGCTGCACTGATGGAATTTGTGTGTGTGTAGAGCTTACCCCAATGTGGGCTGAATCTGAAGCATGCTAGGGCAGGTGAACTCAGAGTATCTGCTTCCCTGTGCAGGCAGCTGGACAGTGGGAGAAGGCTTGGTCCCCTAGCAAGCTGGTTAGCTAAGATGGGGATGGGACGTCACAAGCCATCTGTCATTTAGCAGGCCTCCCTTGCAGTGAGCAGGCAGCAGGAGGACAGGTATGACTCAGTCAGTGGGGTGTATCTGAGTTGGATGTTGCCAGTGATTTCAGCTGCCTAGATTTCCAATTGCACAGTTTGAAATGCTTCATGCTGTCTCGTGGTCCAAGTGGGAGTTTAGCACTTCCTGAAAATCTGGTCTCAGGAAGGTGCTTCACCGAGCAACAGAGGCACTCAAAATCACCTGTCATGCTTTAACATCAGGGCTGTGGTTCCTCTTGTCAGTTGGAGCTGGTTGGGAATTTTCCATTTAAAAGATTGTCAGTGAAAGCCATCAATTTGTTGAAATTGAAACTTCTGTGGGCTTGATTGTGCCCATTTCGAGGCACAAGGCTGAGATTTCTGCTCAGAACCCCAGAGGAAGTTTCCCCCTCCCCAGCAGAGCCTAAAGCCTGATGAGAGGGGGAAACCTGGCTTGATGTCTTTGCTTTTCCTGATTCATGCCAGGGTCTTTTTGGCCACAGTCTTCCACATCCCACTGTGTGCACTGCCAGGCTGCTAGTAGGTATTCTACACTGAGGAACTTGTTGTCTGAACTGCTGGGCCTGGCCTGCTGTGTATATCAGTGGAGGAAAATGTATTTGGCAGGCATGCTACAAATTAGACTCACATCCTCCCCCAATGCCACTCCAATCCCTTTTCCATGCCTGCTGCCCTGCTTTCTGCTTAGTGCTGTACAGGTTTCCCTGGATTTATGTGGGTTCTTTATATGCAAATTCACTTTTATGCGATGAGCATATTTAGACCCGTAATTCATTATATGCAAGGTAAATTCACTCTTATGCAATCAGCATAGATGTCCCCACACCCAAGCAGATAAGTCTGCGGGGGGAGGGGAAAGGACCATGGCCCCAGTCACTCCAGCCCCAGCTGCAGTGGTGCTGGGAGCAGCCGACACCAGCTGCCTGCACCAGGGCACGGCGCAGCCCAGGAGCAGAGGTGAGTGAGGACAGGCAGAGCATGGTACAGCCCAGCAGGCAGCTGGCATTGGCCGCTCCCAGGGCGTTGGGGTCTTGGCCTCTCCCAGGGCCATTGCAGCTGGGGCTGGGGTGAGTGCCACTCTGTTCCCTCTGCTTTGCTGCCCTGTGCAGCCCCAGGAGTGGCACCCCTCCCCCTGCCCCTTCCCTAGTCCCAGCTGCACTCTCTCCCCCCTCCCCTCACCTCCATAGGAACCTATCCCTATTTGTTACATTGTAAAGTGGGTTTACCTTATGTGAGTATGATTTATGCGCCGTTCTCCAGGAACACATGTACAGAATAAATCGAGGGAAACCTGTATATGCCATTATTCTGCCTGTTCCCTTCCCAATCTGTCACGTACCCCACACAGCGGCTGCCTTTGTCACTTGTGGCTCCCATACCGATGATGCATGCTGCACATTGGCCACCCCTGCTGTATATCAGTCAGTTGTCACTACAGGGGGGGTCTCCCACATCCCTGAGGAATTCTATAATCACTGCAGAGTCCAGCTCTTCTTGTTTTTCTCTCTCTCTTGCTGGAGCTGCCATCCTAAATGCTCATTGGATCAGAAACCAAAAGGGTGAGACCTGAGGGAGGACAGATGCGGTTGAATGGGGAGGTATGTGATTCTGCTGTGGAGCCAAAAGGGAAGACGGTTGTGTGGTCTCACCCTGCACAATGCCAGCTATCAAAAGCACCATGAGATCGTTGGACCCCCTGCACTAAAGGGCGTTCCCAAGGCACTGGCTGAGAGGACTGCATCAAACAAACGTAAAGCAAACATTCTTTATAAGTGTTAACAACAGATGGGGGGAGGGATATTCTGCATCTATTAAAGGGGTGTGGCAGTCTCTACTAGGCCTGTGCAAATAGGGAAGTATTCAATTTGGATTTGGCGGATTCAGAGGACGGCGATTCGACTCAGAGATTTGAATCACTGTCTCCATTCAATTTGGCCGGATCAGAATTGGAGATTCGGCGCTGATTCAGAGAGAAGAGTGTGGTTCATTCTTAATTCAGGTTAACCATGAGAACACAACAACCCAGGTTTTAACTTGCATTTTAGGCTTGAGGCAGCCCCCTATTCTCTTATTGCCTTGAATGTGCCATATGTTGTCTGATACTTTAACCTGAGTAATTTTCCATTTCTTTGCAGTGAAGGGTTAGTGATGGGGCAGGCTTTGGTTTCTAAGGGAACTCTCTTGGGCAGATTCTCCACTGATCTGCACCTGGCACATCTGTGTTCATCCAATGTCAAGCATTGCTAGTCAGATCTGCTGCTGGTATCTTATTCTGCTTGCTTTGCACCAAGGTTGCAGAGTGCTGGACAGCAGATCACTGCATTTAAAACCTGCCTGAAAGGCTAATGCTTCCTTTCTTATTAATATAACCTGATTTCCTTTGTCTTATAGGATGGCCTTCCATCATGTTAGCAGTGTTGAAATTCAGTGGCTGGAACCCTGAATCAAAGGTAGATAGGGCCTGCTTCTGTGGGGCGTAACAGCTGAGCATAGCACACGTAAGGCCTCCTTCAAGTATGGGCAGGGCAGCAGGGCTGCTGTGGTATGTTGATGCAGTTCCAGAGAGCATGAGTTTTGAGTGTTGTTCTGGACTGGTACTGAGGGCTACCCCCATATGGCCCAGCACTGAATGAGTACCTGGTCATTCAGCTAGAGAGTCAAAGGTGGACAGAAATTAAGCTGGCCCCTTTTAAGAGCTGAGGCATGGATGGCTTACCCTAGTGGTTAGGGCCAGAGAACAAACCTAGAAGACTTTGCAGGCAATATCATGTACTAAGCAAGGAGAGGCCAGGAGTTCCCAGGAAAGGGAAGTGAACCAGAGACAGGAACTGGGATAGCAGAGGTCAGATAAATCACCTTCATGCCAACCAAGGGGTCAAGAGCCAGAGCCAGATACCATGCCACATTTAATAGCCAAGGGTCAGTAACTGGGGAGTAAGCAGAGGCAGGAAACAGAGACAAAACAAGGAGGCAGCCAGGCACCAAGCACTACTAAAAGCTTGCAAAGCGCTGAGCAACCAGTAGGCTTCTGGTTCATGCTGGGCTTATCTCCTGGAGCTTGGTCATCTCTGGGCAATCAGGCCCTGCTGGATCTATCAGGGGTGGAACTGCTGCCATACCAGGGGTGAAGGCCCTTAGCCCTATCCACCACATCACTCCCTTGCGGGCCTTACCCCTGCTAGCCAGAAAAACCACCTAAGCTCGGGCCTTGGACGTGGCCGAGGGTCAAACACACAAACCCTGACCCAAACCCATGGAAGGAAATGGAGAAAGACTCCCCTTGGCTTTGATGGGCTTTGAATCAGACACCAAGATCTACACTGCAGTTCTTTTTCAGTGCATACTTCGCCTGTAGTGCTGTAAATGTAACTCTCGACTGATAAAAACTACTGCAGCATACACTCCCATCAAATTAGTTGCACAGCACGTTTCCAACTTCAAGGATTTTTCCTGCCATAATTCTCTGCACTGCATATTACTTTTTCTCAGCAGGTTGTTTGCATTTTCATTACAAAGCTGTTGCAACTGAGCAGACGTTATTCTGTAATGCGTTTGATGTTGTGCTCTTAGCCTTAGCATTGCAACATGCCCTAAATCCTTCTCTCTCTTTCCATTATGCTACATTAATTGTCTCCCTTCCTTTTCTGCCAGCACTAACAAATTAGGATGGTTTGGGGGTTTGGCAATCTGGGTTAAAATACCAGCTCCACCATGGCCTCCCTCTGGACTTTAGGGGACTCGCTTAATTTCTTCATGCCTCTGTTCCAGGTCTCATAATTCCTTTTTAGTGCTGTGAGGATAAATTAATTAATGTACGAGGTGCTTGACTGCCAGGGGCCATATTAAATACCTTCATGTGTAAAATTGCTCCATGGGGCCAGTTCCTCTGCAAGAGGAGGAATGCTAGAAAGTCCCCAAGCAACCAGAACCTGGGGATGCCAGAGAAATGGGGTCTGTGGGGGGAGTAGGCCATGTCTCTACGTATCTCAGGGGACAGAGTGGCTCTAGGGGCTGTATTTTAATGTCCCCTCAGACTGTGAGTTTCCTGAATGAGCAGTGTCACCTCAGGCTCAGCTCCTCAGCCTAGGACAACCTTGTTAGGAGCAGTGAGGGACAAACATGCTTCTAGGATCAGGGTGGGCAAATATGGCCCTCAGGCTGGATCCAGTGAGCCAAGGGATTCTATCCAGTCTGTAGCAGGTCCTTTGGCTCTGCTCAACCCAGGAGTGGGGGGTATCCTCAGCTGCGGTACATGCACGTGGTCCCACTGCCCCCAGGTGCACGGTGGGCAGGGGTAGTGCAGTGGTTGGACTCAGCTTCCCAGCAGCCTCTGTGGCAGTGGCGCTCACACTGCCTGGCTACCACTGCCAGTCCACCCCACACCCACCACTGGGAGCACTGGACAGAGCGGACAGGCAGGGTCTCCATGGAGATAGGGCTGGGTCCCTCACGGGCAGGGTGTACTCAGCCGGGCAAATGAGATAGGGCCAGAGGTGGGCAGGGAGTGGGATGGGTGGGTGGGCTGGGGGCTGGGATTGAACAGTGGTGACAGTGTGAGCCCAGGGCAGAGCCACAATCCACTCCTTGCGCATCCCTGCTCACCTGTTGCAGGGACAGGTGGGGAGTGGGATTGAGGCTCTACCTTGGGCCCTGGCCTCATACTGTCACTGTCCCATGATCCTGGCCTCACCCACCTGTCCCACTCCTGGATGCTGCTCCCTGCCCACCTGCAGACCCATCCAATCTGCCTGACTAAGCACACCCTCCCCGCGAGGGTCCCAGGCTGGCCTCCATGGAGACCCTGCCTGCCCAGTCCATCGACTTACCTAGCAGTGGGTGCAGGGTGGGCAGCCTGGGACCAAATAGGATCAATGCTTGCCCCCACTCCAACACACTGGGTTGGGTCAGCATGCTCCCCTGCCCCCCACCGCAACTGGTTAACAGCCCTCACCCCCTGACCTCCCCCCGGCCTGCAACAGCTCACTGAAACTCCTTAAGTGGACCTCCAGCCCAAATAATTGCCCTCTGTTATTCTAGGAGGAACACAGTGGCTTTGGAGCACCGTGCAGAACGTGTGCAGGCAGCTCCTTACTGGTGAAGAAAGCTTCCACATACCAGTAAGATCTTCCCTCCATCCAAAGGTGTGTAGCAGCATAGCCTAACTGAAGAGAAAATAGGCTAGCACCAGAGAGTAACATTTTACTCTTGGTTTTTATGCCTTGCTACTTGTCTGGGAGGTGCATGAGAAATGCATCTAGGGTCATCCAAATTGTTTTCATAGGTGTCTGATTGGACTGCAGGAGGAAGGCAGGAACTGTGACCTGAGTTTGAGCATGACTATGGGTGCTGTGATTTGTACTGAACTAGAGAAATGCTGCTGTCAGTGGGTGTCAGGTGCCTCCCCTGTAGGTGGTCTGGGACCCCAAGCAATGAAGAGGGCTCACCTATAATCAGGCCCCCAAACACTGAGAAGAGTGGGAATTCAGACATCCTGTGGGCCTAATTTTTCTTGTTGGCTCCTGGAGGTACCTTCTGGCTTAGGACCTAGACACCCTGTCTCACTCTTTGGAGGCAATGAACTCTCTCAGTTAGCTCTCTAGGGAACCAGAATGCCTCACCCTCCTGGGATCAGCCTCCTAGGGCAAAGTACCTCATTTTTGGGCACTGCTCTATCTAAGTGCAGATGTCTATGGGGGCAGTATGGATCAAGCTCCAAGGCCCTGGTTTCAGAGTTGGCAGAGAACACCCACAACAAAATCTGTGGGAGCTGGTGACTGATACTCAGCACCTCTGTAAGTCAGGTCCTTAACCCTTACCCTAGGCCTGTTGCCTCTGGAGCAGGACTGTGCAGACGGAGGCATTAACTGTCTCCTGTGACATCAGCCAGGTTAGGAGGGGACTACGCTGTGGAGAGAAGCTACTGTACACCATGCCCATCCCTAGGCAAGCAGCATGCTTGCAGGGCAGCTGCTCACTTGGGAACAGGTGTAATGTGTTGGGAGACCTTTGAAAAATCTCACCTACAGTTATTAGCAAGGGGATGGCTAACCTGCAAACTGAGGCATTGCAGGACTTTTTTTTCTCTACTTTTGGTCAGTGTTGTCTTGCCTCCTTTGGTTTTCCTGGCATCTGCCAAGTTTCCATTGCCTCTGTGATACTGTAGCTGTAGAGAATAACTTCTGCTATGAAACAGAATCACAAGGTTTTGAAACTCTGAGTATGTCATGCCCTCTAATTTGGCAACAATGCTTATCACGGCCCTGGTGAGTTGGTGAGACGTCGCTTTTTTGTGTGTCTGTGAGGGCAGGGTAGCTCTGCTTGGAGGAAGGTCAGAGCCTTTTCTACATTCCCCAAACTACTGATGGTTCCAAAGAAAAGTAAATGACCCTGCCAAGTCAGCAGTCAAACCTCACACCCTCTCCCTCTCATCGCCTCACTTATCACCTGCTGTCAGAACAAGCAGTGGTCTCTTTAGTCCTGTCCCTGCTCTGTGGCAGTTTCTAACACTGACTGCTTCAGAGGAAGGGGCAGGTATGCTACTGAAGGTAGGAATGGGGATGTTTCTGATTCATCCTACTTGCATAAAGGGTGGTTTACAATCTGAAGGCTCATCCTTTTCATAATCTGTGGGCCAGCTGTTTTGTTTCTGTAATCTGTACGGCTGGGATCCTGGATGTTTTTATTATCCAAATCATCGTCTGTTCCTTACGTGAGTCCTCCTGTCCTCAGCAGGGTCACCATTTCTGTAAAACAAACTTGGCCGCCATTTCTGGATTTAGCATCGAAGGGATTTAGGTCTTTCTCAAAATGAAATGGACGGTGAAATCTTTATTCCTGCTTGGGTCCTTAATATGGCAAGAAAGGACCACAGTGGCTCTGGTCTTAGTCAAGGGTGGACAGCAGTGGCTGTACTCAAAGGGTGTCCGTGCAATTGCTAACACAAGGACCGTGGCAGGGGTATGGATGGAAAGGCAGGGGCCTGACAGGAACAGCTCGCAGCGCTGGGGAACTTGGCTGGACTGGAGGAAGTGCCAGCCCAGCTGAGTTCCCAGCCAATTGCAGTGCTGGGGAACTCAGGAAAAATAACTCCACCCTCTGCCCATTTCTGCACTGTCAGGACTGTCAGAGGAGAGAATCCAGACCTATTTGTTTTCCTTGGTTAGACTTTTAAATAGAAACTACTAGCACCAAGGAAATGTATCCTGTTTTATATGCCACCATTCTCCATTTCAGCACCATTCTGCAGTGGGATGATGGGATTTGATGGACAAGGAGGGAGTCATCTGTTCAACTTGAGAGAGTGTAATCAGACCCTTGGTATCATTGTAAAAATCGGAGGCGTGCTGAACCATCAAAGGTTTTGACTGCAGCTGTGTCTTCTCCATACTCATCCTAACCACTTGACTAAACTTCAGAATCACTCTTCCTATAAGCAGATGGAAAATGGAGCTTTAGGTCTGAACCAGGCAATGTTAAGTAAATAGTATTTCACTGTGTGAGACTATTTACAATTACCAACTTTTTTTGTACAATGCTTAAGATGTGACTGTCCTGCCTAGAGAAGCCTCTAAGTTCTTGTATGAAACACTGAAAATATTCTAAAATATTTTGGTATATAAAAGAGAAGGTCACTAAGCAACCACAGAGCCAATTAAAGGATATTAAGATGGAAAATGATACTTTAACTGGACATATCAAATGCTTGCTGTTGTTGTCAATCTGTGCGCACTTCCCTTTAATGCCAGGTTGTCCTGCTGACAGTCATCTTAGATGAGCATTTCCTCCCTGCACTGAGGCATAAGGTTTTCCTGATCACCACCAGTTTATCCTAAGGTTTTGTACTGTTGCACATCACCATAGTGTCTAAGCATCTTCTATCAACAGCAATAGCTTTGACTTCTTGGACTCCCTGGCATTTCTCTTTACAAGTTTAAATATGTTTGAGATTGGGATTTTATTTTTTCCGCTTCCTCCAGTTTATTTTTCCCACTTCTTCCAGCCTGTCTGAGTTCCCCAGCACTGTGATGGGCTGGGATAGGTGGGTAGATGGGGGAAGAGGAGGGATGGTGGTGGTGCTGTCTACAGCAGCGCTTCTCAAACTATCTGATGTGGCGGACTGGCAATTTTTTTTTCTAGTGGGCCAGGGACTGGTGCCTGATTCAGCCGGTGGCAGCAACTGCATGTAACAGCGCTATACAAATGCGCGACCGGCTGTTTCTTTCTCTTTCCTCACCTCGCACGACATGACGTCACCAGGAGTATTGGAACATACGAACTGTGGTGCTATATCAATGTTATGCTTTTGAAAATATATTTCTTTCTTTCCTGGCAACTCGCTGCAGACCGGCGACTGGTGGCTCTCCGTGGACCACCACTTTGAGAAGCACTGGTCTACAGGATAGGAGTGGGGATGGGGGAAGAGGAAAGAGCTCCAGTCTGGGGTTTACCTAGCCTGAGCTGGAGTGGGGGAGCAGGTGGATTGGAGCCCCTCTGAAGTGGGAGGGCACAATCCACCCCCACCTCAGCACAAGAACCCAACACCAGAGCTCCTTCCTCTCCCCCTTCCTTCTCCCACCCTGAGACAGCACTGGAGCTGAAAGGCGGGGCGCAGGGCTAGGGGAGAGAGGCTACAGATGCACAGCTTCTCTCCCATGGATCAGCTCCAAAGTGGAGCTTGAGTCTCCCTCCCACCCCTCTCCCCCCACCAAACAGGAAACATCTGTTGGGGTGGGGGGGTCACTGTAACTCATGGCACTTTCTGTGAAGCTCCATGAGTTACAGCAGGGAGTTGCACTTCAGTCAGCACCCTTTGTGGCTGGTTCCCATCATGCCTTAAAAAGAAAGTTTGCCACAGTGCCAAACAGCTGAATAGGGTCCTACACTCTGGAGTGTACCAGAGCCCTTCAAGACTACAATGTACTCCCATGGCTGACAGTACCAGTCATCTGATCAGCACTCCTAGCCTCAGGAGAGCATTGCAGTCTTGAAGGGCTTTGGTGTGTTTCCAAAGTTGGGAGTGCTTATCAGCTGACTGTGCCTTTACTTAAGTATCTGTCAGCAGCCTGAGATAACAGCATGTTATGAAAGGGATGCATTAGTGAATTTTCATGGACTTGAACGAGGTGGAATACAATTGCACTTAGGTGTCTAAGTCCCCTTAGGCACATAATAGGTGGAATAGATTCTGTCCCAAAAGATTTTAGCAGGTTGAGTTTTCCAAATTGTTGGCCTGATATGTGGGTCACTGTGACTACAGAAGTGTATATGCATTTTCAGAGGCAGAACCGGAGGAATTTTTGATTGCATATTTTATTTGCTCCAAAATGCAAGTTTGACTAGACCAAAACCATTGGCAAACTCATGCCAAATCTAGCAAATAGTTCCACCCTCCAAAAAAATGCAAAAACCTGAAATATTTGATATGTGCTAAATGAAGCATTTTAATTTCTTGTTTTAAAATGGCATTTCAAGATTAGACTTAGCTATTTTTGAGCTCCTTTTTAATCTTTTTCTCATTCAATAAAAGGAAGCAAAATATTTTGTTTAGCCCCTAAAATGTGTTTTCAGTTTCTTTTTGTTTTGAGCAAGAAGACCAAAGTTGCATCCATTTTTCTTCCAGGAATTTCAGTTAGCCGCGTAAAAAAGGCTCTATTTATTCTGGCTTCGGCTTGCTATCTACTCATTACCGCAACTCTTTGTTTGTCTCCAAAGAGTGCCCTGATTAGAATTTAACTTGTAGTGTAATTTAATTAAGGTCTAAAAAACACTGGTGAGACACCTTATCTGCATTCTGAGTACTGATGGGCCTAACTTTTCCACAAAGACAATGCACAGCACCTGACTCAACAAACAGCTTCACAGAATGAAAGGCTTATTAGTTTAAAGAGGGGCACAGACTGGCCCTCTGTGTTTTAAAATCCAATGCTGTGAGTACTTAGAATAGAATAAGCCATTGCCTAAGCAAATCCTTCATCTTAATATGCCAAGCCAAGAACTCCGACAACAGAAGCAGTCAATGACCAAGCCCTGTTCCCAGGGCTGTGCTCACTGTGGGCTGGAGCACAGTGAAGCTGGGTGAATGGTGTGAGGCACTCATCTGTATTCTGCACAATGCTTGGGTGCTATTGCCTCTACAGAACCC